ATTGTGAGCTTTATTTACAGAATTTAAATAATTTACTTTCCTGCTGAGCAAATCAGCGTTTCCCGCGACCGAAATAATTTTTTGCCGCACATAAATATTCAATTATGAGTTTGCCAGCGCTCTGTCCCTCCACACCCTTCTGCTGCTGTTGCTGCTATTGAAAATAAAATTTCAGAGAAATAAAATTTTACCGGAAAAGTGCTTAAAGCAATTTAAAAGTATTTGGAAAGTAGAAACAACAACAACAACAAATTTTTATGGCCAATTCAATCAAATTATTTGAGTTTGTATTGGTTACATGGCTGTGGAGAATAAAATTCAAGGCAAGGCCAGGGGAAGTGCCAGGATAAAAAAAAAAATAAAACAAAACTAAAAAAAGGAGCAGAAAACAGAAGTAACAGCAACAAAGTCATAATAATACACAAACACAAATTTACGGTAATAACATCCACTTCGAACAAATTAGATTGTTTTCCACTTGAATTCGTTTATTCGCTTGATTTATACAAATCATCGTCATCATGCTCCGCATCATCATCATCATCATCGTCGTCGTCGTAGTCGTATAGAGCTGCAAAAAGCGAACCGTAGCAACAACACGTTTAATGCCATTGCCAAACAACCAACATCATTGGTGGCGTTCCGAACCACAGACCCAAATGACTTTGGCATGCTAACGCTTCATAACAACCGGGCAACGTCATCTTCTTCAATAACATTAGCCTGGAGAAGCAGCAGTCATTTCATCCCGATCATCATCAACATTCTCTGCTGATGCCAAAGAAAGTTCCTTTGGCAACAACAACAACAACAGAAACATAAATGTTCTTGTTGTTAACATCATTATGATTCTAGCATACAATGTCCTTCTGGTCTTCTGGCGTTTAAAAGGGGGTGAGGGCAAGGCGGTGGGTGTGAGATGAAAGATAACACCATATCTCCCCCGTCTCATCTGTTAAAAAAAAAACCAATGGTTAACTAAGCAACCCCTCACCCCACCCCCATTTCTTGCCAGCTACTCCCAAACATCTCCTTTTTCCAGGACTTTGGATCGCATTACGTACCAAAAACCGTTTAAATGGCCAAAACGAACTACCGGCTGGACGACAGACTCGCAGACAGACAGCCATCCTTCACTTCGCATAAAACCGAGCAACCATGGCTCTTATTATCTAGCTTAGCTCCGTAACGTAACGGCGGAAGTGAAATGCTATAGATTTCAACGTTGCTTCATTCGGTTGTTTGGCTGTTTCGTTCTTCCGTTTTCGTGAAATTTATGACGATAATCGCTGCGAAATTGTTATGACCAAATGAAATGTGATGATTGTAATGATAATGACGTACGCAATGACTTTGGAAAATGACTGTTCGGCTGCCTGTGCTCTCACTTTCCCCTTTTGTACCACTGGCCAGTGATTTGTGTGGAGGTGGGTGGTTGACACCATCACCAATAGTCCAGCGGGAGTACATGGGGGACAGAAAATTACATTTTCTCTTTCCAAAATTGCAAGGGATGGCAGGAGTTGAATGTAACATTTAAAATGAAAATTAAATGAGAAATTAAACTTAAAAGGAAATTCCCCATGGCAAATGGGATTATTTAAAATTCTAGTACTTAAAACGGAGGGATAAATTTCCAAAAAGCTTTAACAACTTAGCCGGAAGTAAAGTGAAGCCATTGAAGTGGCCTTGGGCTTTAAAGGACATTTTTGTATAACTTTAAATTCATTTTTCGGATACAAAGACAGATGAGCCTCATCTGAATTAAAAATCTAATTTAGTAAAAATAATAAAAATAATAAAACATATGTTTTTTAGATTTTATCCAAAGATTATTTTCCTACCACCATGTATCACGTTGGGCGCCACTTTGGCAAAAAATGCGTCATTGATTTACTATCAAAACTTTTATAAAAAGAGAAAATATTAATTTATTTATTGTATGCGTAATGTCGACAGTGGTCAGTAGTGGAATTTAATCCTAACATCCTCTCGGCCATAACACGTGAACATTTAAGGCCACATAGTTTGATATTTTTTGTAATACTTAATGTTCTTAAATGGAAAAAAAATCTGAATTTTTAAAATAATATGCCGAGGACCCACAGACCATCCAAATGTTGAATTTTTTAAATATAAATTTGAGGACCAACATGCCCTATATAATATGGATTTTTTTTAATATTTTTGATTTTTGTACCCTTCAACACCATATGTTGGGGGTATTAAAGTTTAATTGGTCCAGAAAGTTTGAAACAGCAGGAAATATTTATCCTACACAGGCGATGCTATACATAGATCTTTCTATCTCGTCAAGGTGAGTCGATATAGCTATGCGTGTCCGCCCTTCTGTGCATGATAATTTGTAATCGCGCTACAGATCGAATTTGTCGCTATCTTTTCTCGAAATATTGCATGGAGTTAGAGTTCGGGTCAGAATAAAGGCATATTATTTTTGAAGATGATGGTAAAATATTTAGGTTGGAATGTACCAAAAACCAAAATTTCCCGGTATTCCAGTTGTCCTACAGGTCACAACTATAGACCGATTGACGCGGAATTATGCATGGGATAAGAGTATAAGACAGGGCAGAAGCCTACAATTTTTGAGAGCTATTGGACAATATTTAGCGGGTAAAATGCACCACCACTTCTGTGTAAAATTATTTTCATATAATTTAAAAAAATGCATTCATATTTTATACCTGAAATCGGCAAACTCCGATTATTTAGGGACTATAGCAAACAGTGAACCGAAACCAGTTGTTCTTGAAAAAAAACACTTTATAGATGTTCAAAGCTCAATATTAAATACTGCGAAATGTATCTCAAAATATTAACAAAGCCTTGGCAATATACAAAAAGACCCCAAATACTTTGAGATAAACATAAAAAACGTTTGGCCCAAGAACCCGAAGTTTTTTTCTTGGGTTTTGATATACAAACCGAATAGGCTTGATATTTGCTAAAGCCCAGAATTATCGCTCTACAGTGAATTTGTTTTCATAAATTCATAAATTGCTGAAAATTAGGGAAAAGTGCTAATTTTTTGTAAAACAAAAAAATGTTATACCCTCAGCCATATGACTACAGAAGGTATATACAGGGTGAGATAAAATAAACCACTTGTGGGTTGCACTCGATCTAGCGATGTCGGTTCGTCCGCTCGTCTGGCTGGCAAGGAATATCCGATTCGGCCTTGGTACATCGTAATATTACTATCAAACTAAAATCGAGTTCGGAAATGGGCCATATGTTGTGCCTTCCCCACAAAAAGTTGTAATTTTCAAAAAAAGGAATAAAATGTTTTACTGTGCAGAAAGAGAAGGGATAACCCGATTTTGCTCAAATTTGCAAATTCTACTATTTGCATTAGTGTTAGGTCGTGTGAGAAAATGAAAATGAATACCTCCCTCTCAAAGGGTCAAAATTTTGAATAAATCTAAAATTCGACTGCTTTCAAATTGGACACATAACAATATTTTTATCGGTCATATCGATCCACTCCTTCTGGTACCTCTCCCCAAAGGGTAAAAATTTTGAATATCCATGAAGCTCATAAAACGCCAAAATAATATCCGATTCCATTAAGACTTCGAACATCTATATATTTCTATAAACTCAAAATCTGTTTTAAAGATGGTAGAGATCGGACCATTTCTTCTGGTACCTCCCCCCTCAAAGGGTTCAAAATTTTGAAAAACGATTATAAAATCCGAAGTAAGCATCTCATTATTTCTACTAACACTAGATCTGATGCGAAGATGGAATGTGTCGAACTACTCCTTCTGGTATCTCTCCCAAAAGGAATCAAAATTTTGAATATCCATGAAGCTCATAAATTAACATCCGATTCCATTTATACTTGGTACATCTCAATATTTTCAACAGCACAAGATCTTTTGTAAAGATGGTAGAGATCGGACTATTTCTTCTGGTACCTCCCCCATATTGGGTTTATGATTTTGAAAAACAAAACGCTAAAAAAGCAAACTAAGCATCCAACTCTCTTCAAATCGCGCACATCAAAATATTTTTGCTAACGTAAGTTCTGTTGTGAAGATGATATATATCTGAGAACCCCTTTTGGTAACTCAGCCACAGAGGATCACAGTTTCCAATACTTATATCTGTCATATTTTGCGAAACAATTCGGCGATTCTTTACAACTTTCTATATCTAAATATTTGACTTAGCTAGAAATTTGACATGAATATGAAATTTATCGGAATTTATGATTTCGTATAAAATTGGATATAAATGTTCAATTTCTTTTAAATTTTGCATGTACCAATATTTTTATATGTATTAGATGAAGTTTAATACTTTGGTCCGCTATATCTGGCACATCACGCATTTTCCAAATTTTCCAAAAAATTTCACAAATCTCATATAAAGTGTAGGAAGTGGTCGATATAGTCCAAATCTGGCACATTGTAATATTTATATGGTATTTATTTAGGACCAATACGAAATGGACAATATTGGCCCATTCCTTCGGAACCTACTCTATATGATTATTCAACAATTTGAATGATCATAACTCAAGGCTGGGGGTGTACACTTGTCGTTAAAACCGACAGATAATATTTTCTGTAGAATTATCGGGGCCAAAAAAATATTCAAATATTTTTTTTTCACAAATCCTTCAAGAGCACAAAATACATAAAAATTGTGGTGAGGTGGTTTTTGAAAATTTGTTCAAAAAAAAAAAAAAATAAATAAATAAAATAAAAATAAATAAATAAATAAAAAAATATTAATTTAAAATTTAATATTTTAAAAATTTTTATTTAATAATTTAAAAATAATAATTTAAAATGACATTTTTTATCCTGCAATGAATTCCAAATATGTATAATTTGAATATTTTTATTACAAAACCATTATTAATAATTTGTTTTTTATTCTCCTCAAAATTTCTATCACATCAACATGGAGCCAAACCTTATCTTACGCCTATTTTTTTTTTTTTTTTTTGATTTTCCATTTCCAGGTTTTTTTTTTTGTAGCTGCTGCCCACTCGCATTCTAATAAACGTAAGTATGGCGCAAGCGTAAAACATAACATTCTACTTAGATATCACGAAAAATATGCTGCTGCTGCTGTCGTGGTGGTTATGCGTTTATCCAGCAAGTCTGTCTGACTAACTGGATGCTGACGATGATGATAGTTTCCACATGGCACCACCACCATTGGTATTCATACTAAATTCTAAATCAATTTCATTTTAATCATAAAACCAACAAAGCGGACACCAACTCCTCTGCATTTGGCCAACAGAGAAAAGAAAAAAAAAAAAACACACACATCAATGGGTTTGGTATCCGCATATCCGCCAGTAGCCTGTAATTATAAATTCTAAAGAGGCAATGGAAAGAAGGAATATAAAATGTTGTTTTGTATTGTTGTTGCTGTTGTTTGTTCTAACTAACTGGCTTCTTATCTCTTGGTAAGCAGGCTACAGCAGCAGCTCATGATACTCGAATTTTTTTTTTGTGCGGCTCTTAAATGGACGCTGTAGAGGAGATAAGGCCTCGGACATGAGGAGAATGTCTAGTTGAGTAATCCAGATATTTCAATACATTTCTCATGCCATCATTTTTTTTTTTACAAAAACAACAACACCGGCAACCGGTCAATAGAAACAAATGTTGAATATCAGTTGCTTTGGGAAATTCTTCCGTGTCTCCAGAATTCTGAGCTGACGTTTTTTAATTTTTTTTCTACCCTCCACCATAGTATGGAGGTTATATTAAGTTTGTCATTCCGTTTGTAACACCTCGAAATATAAATTTTAGACCCCACAAAGTATATATATTCTTGATCAGCATAAAATTCTATGTCGATATAGCGACGTCGGTCCATCTGTCCGCCTGTGGAAATCACTCTAGCTTCCGAAAGAATTGAAGTAGATTGATAAAATTTTACTCAAATGTATGTTATGTCTGCAGGACTTTTGGTATAGAAAATGGGAACTGTAGGTCCACGTTTTGGTATAGCCCCCATATAACGGTACCTTCCGATATTCGGTATTTTGATGATTTTAGCGACATTATTTACCGGAATTGTTTCAAAATTGGTATTTGAAGTTTGTAATGGATACTACAGCATAAGACAGAAAATGGGCTATGTAGGTCCACATCTTCGTATAGCCCCCATATAACGTAACTTCCGATATTCGGTATTTTGATGATTTAAGCGACATTATTCACCGGAATCATTTAAAATTACGTATTTAGAGTTCGTAATGGGACCTACAGTCTGTGACAGAAAATTGTCTATGCAGATCCAGGTCTTCGTATAAGTCCCATATATCAGTACTTCTCTATATTCGATATTTTGACAAGTTTAGGTACAATACCCACCAAAATTGTTTGAGATGTCGTATTTGAAGTTCGTAATGGATGCTATAGCCTGCGACAGAAAATTGTCTATGCTGGTCCAGGTCTTCGCACAGCTCCGATATCACGGTACCTCCCTATATACGATATTTTGATGATTGTAGCTACACTATTCGCCGTTTATTTCAAGTTTCGAATTTGAATATGGTAATGGCTTATGACAAGGTCCACGTCGTATAGATCCCAATATAACGGCTATATTCGGAATTTTTAAAATTTTAACAGAATTTTTAAGGGATTTTAATTTTTTGAAAATTTTCAAATTTGTACCAAATGGTGGAGGGTATTCAAAGTTCGGCCCGGCCGAACTTACTCCTTTTTAACTTGTTTTTTATTTTTTTATTTTTCTGTTTTCTCCTCCTCCTTCCGAATCCAAGTCCCTATCAATTTGGAATATTTTAGTTATGTTGTTTGAAAAGAAAGAAACGAAGCGATATTGGAGCATTGAAGTACGGCATTTACATATGAATATTTTCACATTTTGTGCCCCCCCCCACTCTCCTTTTACATCTTCTGGGCCAAAGGGGTCCGGCGGTTTTTCTCTCTTTGATACCAAACTGCAGTAGTTACCAAGTTAACATTCATTGGCATAAAGAGATTTGTTAATACAGACATCTTGGGTAGTTTTATATCCGTTTCAATAAGGCAATCATGCCGTTTACTTTTAAGCCAAATGTCTGGCTGGCTGGCTCTCTGCTGGTCTCATATTCTTCAATGTCTGGTTGTGTGGCTGGCCTGCAGACTGTAGTTGAAAAGATAAAAGCTTTTCCATGTAGTTTTGTATATTTTTTATTTATTTTTTTAATTTTTTTATTTAACTGTTGCTTTATTTGTTTTATGTTTTGTTGTTGGACGGGCTTTTATTTTCCGCTCGCATTCAAATAATGATGCCACACTGGCCATGTAGCAGTAGTTAGCCTTAAAAATAATGTTACTGCCGATGCTGTCGAAAATTTTTAACTTGATGCGTTTAAAATGAAAAATAAATTATTTTAAATTAAAAAATAAAAACGAAAAGTATTTTTCCTCTGCCTCTGACGACTTTCATAATAATCGGTTTTGTGGCGGCAAAAAAGGGTCAAATTTCTCCATGGCCAATGAGTCGCAGTAAAGGGATTTTGTAAACAATTTCTGTTTTCAACCCACATACCAATACTTTTTGTTTTTTTTTCTCTCTGAACAATCTGTTTGTTAATGGTTTAAATATGCAAAATATATTTTTGTTGATTTTTTTCCTTTTTTTTGTGGCAGTAAAAACTGAATGTTGAGGCTGACAAATAAAGTAGTCAAGAAAAAAAGAAAACCCAAAACAACAAATAATAATGGAAAACTTCAGCAGAAATAATAGGATTAAATTTTGAGGAAAATTTTTATTGGGAAAAACTTATGGAACTAAGAAAGAGGGTTCACTGAAAATTCTATTCTTTTCTTATGGAACTACAGACGAAGGTTGGCTAAGCAGATTTTCTTAAAAAATGTTGGGGAATGCTATTTTTTCAAAAAAAAAAAAAAATAAATAAAAAATAAAAAACACCACAGGGTCTTCTCTTCTACGGGAAGAGCAACTGGTCTCCTATGAGAAGAAAAAATTGTCTTAAGCTCTTCTATGAGAAGACCTATATCTCTTCTGTTCTATAAGAAGACCTATAGGTCTTCTTCTACGATGGTAGACCAATAGCTATTCTTCTAGGAGAAGGCCTATAGCTATTCTCGTCTATGTGAAGACCTTTAGCTTTTTTATGAGAAGACCCATTGCTCTTCTTCTACGACAGAAGACCTATAGCTCTATTTCAACGAGTGAAGACCTATTGTTATTCGTCTACGATAGCTCTTTCAGGACCTCTAGCTCTTCTATAAGAAAATACCTACAGCTCTTCTATAAGAAGATACCTATAGCTATTCTATGAGGAAAGGAAAGCCTATAGCCCTTCTATGAGAAGACTTATAGCTCTTTTATGAGAAGGCCAATAAATCTTCTTCGAGAAGGAGATCTATAGCTTTTTTCTTTGAGAAGACCTATAGCTTTTTTCTTTGAGAAGACCTATAGCTTTTTATCTATGAGAAGACCTCTTCAGCTCTTCTATGAGAAGAGACCTCTTCAGCTCTTCTATGAGAAGAGACCTCTTCAGCTCTTCTATGAGAAGAGACCTCTTCAGCTCTTCTATGAGAAGAGACCTCTTCAGCTCTTCTATGAGAAGAGACCTCTTCAGCTCTTCTATGAGAAGAGACCTCTTCAGCTCTTCTATGAGAAGAGACCTCTTCAGCTCTTCTATGAGAAGAGACCTCTTCAGCTCTTCTATGAGAAGAGACCTCTTCAGCTCTTCTATGAGAAGACCTTATCAGCTCTTATATGAGAAGACCTCTTCAGCTCTTCTATGAGAAGACCTCTTCAGCTCTTCTATGAACAGACCTATAGCTCCTCTATGAGCAGACCTAAAGCTCTTCTATGAGCAGACCTAAAGCTCTTCTATGAGCAGACCTATAGCTCTTCTATGAGCAGACCTATAGCTCTTCTATGAGCAGACCTATAGCTCTTCTATGAGCAGACCTATAGCTCTTCTATGAGCAGACCTATAGCTCTTCTATGAGCAGACCTAAAGCTCTTCTATGAGCAGACCTAAAGCTCTTCTATGAGCAGACCTATAGCTCTTCTATGAGCAGACCTATAGCTCTTCTATGAGCAGACCTATAGCTCTTCTATGAGCAGACCTATAGCTCTTCTATGAGCAGACCTATAGCTCTTCTATGAGCAGACCTATAGCTCTTCTATGAGAAGACCTATAGCTCTTCTATGAGAAGACCTATAGCTCTTCTATGAGAAGACCTATAGCTCTTCTATGAGAAGACCTATAGCTCTTCTATGAGAAGACCTATAGCTCTTCTATGAGAAGACCTATAGCTCTTCTATGAGAAGACCTCTTCTATGAGAAGACCTTAAGCTCTTCTATGAGAAGACCTTAAGCTCTTCTATGAGAAGACCTTAAGCTCTTCTATGGGAAGACCTATAGCTCTATTATGAGAAGACCTACAGCTCTACTTTAAGAAAACATATAGCTCTTCCTTGAGAGGACCTATAGCTCTTCCTCTTCTATTAAAGCAGCGACAACTCAATTTTAATATTTCTTTACTAGAATTGAATTTATCCATACCATGTTATCATATCCCCAAACCCACTTCAACATCCTCCAAATGATTATAATATCCTTGAACTCGCCCTAATATCCTTGACATTTAAGGGATATGAGAAACTTTTCCACACTTTTCCATTAATCCCGTTTATCTGTTTCCTCTGTTTACCTCTTTTTTTCGAGGGAAATAATTTTTACTCGTCTTGCTTTTTCTTATCTTCCCAAAGACATCCTTTTTCATATCCTTTCAAAATATTTTTCATTTATTTTCATCGTTCTCAATTTTTTTCGCTTGCTCACTCTCTCTCCCCCTCTCTCTCGCTAAATTTCTTGTCATTTGTTTCCGTTTTCCTATAACACATTATTCATTGTTCGCCAACACTTTAAAACCTAATTTTTCAATGTAGGTATGTTGTTGATGTTGTACGGCAAAATAGAATATTATTCTACTTCTTCGTCTAACAAACCGTTGTAATCTCCGGCAAAAACATCACACATCATTTGCTG